ACTATAGGCATTTTCCCCATTTTTAGCACATTTTCACCCCCATCCCAATTTTTTTCCCAGCTTGTCTTTTACAGACCTATGAGTATTTACAAAACAATAATCTTTTTCTGTCTTTCCCTCTATACCTATATGAACCTCTTGTTTAGAGAAATAAAATTTTTCAATGTATGTTTGTGGAGAATATTACTTCAAAAAATCTCAATAATTTATTGAAGTTTTTTTTTAAGTGAATCAGAATTCATCCCATACCACGTATCAACTTTAGTTATCTATCCTCAGCTGAGAGCCTAAAATTATGTTACCGTACTGGTACTAACATATTTTAGCTTATTTAGTTCTTTAAATATGAAGTTTGCTTTTAGACTTTCACTTCAGGAATCTAAAATATTTTCATAAGAGGTTTTTCTTTTCCCATTACGTAGTTTTCATTTTGAGTCCTCAGATCTTCACAGTTTAGTTGTACTTAGTCTAGTTCTAGATACTTGTTAGCCAGAATATGCTATTCCCAAATATACTTCAAAGATACTTTTCCATATTCAATAGTTATATTCTCATTCTTGTTCTTTGACTGCACAGGTACAAACAGAAACCACAGAGCTAATCTTTAAACTACCGAATTTACCTTTTCTGCTTATGATGGTCTGTCTTGATAACATTACCACTCTAATATTCTTTTTTATTGGTTAATCTTTTCCTGGTATTGGCATTTAACTGAATTCTTTTCCTCAGCATATTATTGTAATCTCCTTTATATGCAAAAGTTACAGGATTTTTTTCTGTTTATAATGTTATTAATCAAATTCAGTACACATTCCCATTGTAGTTACAAATACAGCAACACTTAAAAGATTAATCATATTCAGCTGCCTACTTTCTCCATAGCAACTTCATCTTCTGATGTGCAGTAATGAGGCATGACTTCAGTTCTTTACAAATTCTACTGAAACTCAATGTTTTCTGTACTCCTTCATATTACACCTATTGCAGTGCAGACAGCCCCTATCCTGGTGACAAACTCTGTAGAACCACCAGAACTCATCTATTCTTCATGGCTTTACATCTTTGCCAGATACTATTTCTTACATCATCTTTGATTCAGCTCAGGTCTCCCTGTGCATCTTTTACTCTGAGGCAGAAGAGGACAGTCTAGCCTTCTCTTGCAGAACAACTAATGTTCTCTGATTACAAGCACAATTAAAATTAGTGTGATGTATTTCGCCTTGCTAACTTACCTGATTCCACATCCAAGTGGTTAATTTTCTTTAATTTTCTAAAGGTTGTTTTCAGGTATGTTAGTTCAGGCTGTAGCTCAACTTTGTTAGCCAAACTTGCTAACAGAACCTCTTTCTCTTCCTAATTCTCAGGGAAGCTTTTTTTGTTTGTGTATTGTTCTCCAGCTTTTTGAGGAAAATTCCAGGTATTAACATTTATTGTGAAGCCTTTTTTCTTTACTGTTTCCTTGCGCTTTATCTTTGAAAACACTTCCATCAGTGTTACTGTATGAACTTAACAAATGTAGCAACTGATAATTTCTCTTCCTAATTGCTATTTCTGGCACCATGATTTATTGCTAGCTTTTTGGGGGTTTTTTTAAATGTGAAATATCTATGGAGGTAGCCTAAGCTTTCATAAAATGCAAGGAAGGAATTAAATGCCTATAAACTTAATTCACAAAGTTAAAATGAGCAGCCACTCTAAGCTAGTACAAGAACATGTAATAAGGTGCAGTCTTATATTTCATCCCTTTCTGAGGAAGCCAGTAAGGCTTCGGTTTGTATTTGCAGAAAATGGAGGGACTCCCTGTTTTATATACCTAGTGAGCAGAGTTCCTGTGTAGTTCTTAATAGTAACTGTGAGATGTTTTTTAACGCTACATAATGAAGAAAGATGAGAGGCATTACAAGAACTCACTTGTAGGAACTTCATTGCACTATGTGTTACTGCAGATCTGGTTTAATGCAACAACAGTAAACACTTCGGCATGTATGAAGGCAAACACATGCAGGTAATTAAAACTAGTGATGTTGTCTCTGTAGGTTGTTGAGAAGAGAAGCTCTTGTGGTTTGATAGTGTTGAGGAGGTATTATTTGAACAGTTCTGTAGTTTATAGGGAGAAGATACATACCTAGGTGATATCTGAAATAGATAAACTGAAAAGTGTTTTCATAAGCTTTTCTGCAGCAAGAGTTTTACTGTTCTTTTCATCTTTCTCTCTTTTAGAAGGCTTTTTAAAATCTGAGCTGGCTGTTTTGGCAGATCATTTCATAGTGAAGAAAAAGGGAATATTCTCTGTTCATTTTGGCTTGTAATTTCCTAACAGTACAGCTTCATCAGTGCATTAAAAATGTTCTACAGCCAGTATTTCTAGTCTTCCATTAAGCAATGAAAGGGAGTATTTATCAGAATTTATCTTATTTTAATAAGAACTTATACAAAAATCTGTGCATTGCACTGAATAAACTATGTTAATTCACTTTAGAAAATCCTAATATTAAGCATGAGCTACACATACAACAAATTACTTATCCTCCCTGCAGGATTTGTAAGTCCTACAATAAACTAGGCTTCCCAGCTCTCATTTTGGATTACTTCTGAATTCCCCTGGGAGCCACTTTTGTGGCAGATTCCATTTGGTTTCACAAGGCCTAAAGGGGGAAAACTTGGCATAGACCACAAATCTCTCACATTCGGAACAATTTGTAAACCACGAACAGAGGCAGCCAGAGTCCGTCCCCAGAACAGGCTGCTCCTGTTAGTGCCATTGTCTGAAAAGGATTGGTTTGCCATTTCCCAGATGACCTGCCTATGTGTAGAGAGATGTGAAAAGTTAGAGACAAAAATGTTTTCTACAGAGTGAGGGGGGAGCTTTCTTGTACAGAAAGGAAGGAAATACCTCTGTGGGATTTTATTTTTTTCCCCTCTTCATCCAAAAAATACAAAGAGGCCCTCTGTCTTTAATGCGAATGTCAGCTTTAAATCTTTTAGGTTTGGATTAACTCTGTAAAGGAAAAAAAATCTGACAGGCTTTCAAATATGACGCAGAAAAACTTTTTTTTTTTTCCTCAATTCATGTTGTTCATTTGTAAAGCCAAAGGCTGGATGGACTGAATAGTAGGCGCCAGTTGTTCCTTCATTCATAGTTAGCATTACAATAGTCAGAATTAACATCCTAAGACCTACATTATCACTTTTGCTGTTTCACCAGAAAACATTTAATACAGGGTGGCTCAGGCAAGGACAGCTCTTTGCTGTGTTCTTACAAATTAAAAAAATGTTGTTAATAATAGGAAGTTAGAGTCATAATTACTTCAAGTTGTATTTTGTGCTTGTTTATAGGAAACTTGGTCTCTCTGATTGCTAAGTAATTATAAAATGTCTTGCAAAATGTAGTTGTGATAGACATTTCCTATTAGCTGCGGTTTAAGGAAATTACTGTTTCATCAAATATGTCAAAAGTCATGTTTTGCTTATAAAGTGACTGTGCTAATGCATTTTCTCCACTTACTGATACAAAATTTTCTTTTTTTCTTTTTTTCCTCCGTTGAATATGTGAATTGTTTTATTTTGAACCCATCACTGCTCAGTGTTTACACCTTTGTTGACAGCTGTTGGCAGAAATAATTACTAGAATTTCAGGCAATATCTATGTCCTTTTAATGTAGTTATGGAAAGTTTATCAAATTTTCAGTTAAAATATATTCTTATGCTTTCTAAAGTATCAGTGCCAATAGGAATTTGGATACAAAAATAAGGTAAACAGAACATTTTATTTATAAGAGAATGAGATATTTTTTTTTCCTGAAAATAGTTCACTTTTGTTTTTACGCATCACCATAGCAAATGTAATTCTAAAATGTTCATGTAAGCGCATTCAGAAATTAGACTCAGGTGCTGCAAGCTACTTGCAGTTTTCTTCTAATAATTTTCTTCTCATTAATATTAGGAAAATATCAGCTTATTTATATTAGTTACATACTGAGGTTTAACCTTTGAAAGGAATTAGTCTCCGAGTAATGAAGCAAAGGATTTGAAAGGGTATTGTTGTGTAGCAATGTTACATTCAGCCTCTGTGCAATCTAATTACATTAAAGGTATTTTTAATACTGACTGCAAAACAATCTTCAGTAATATACTTTATTATGTATTTATCATACTCCTTGCATCCATAATCTTGTTGATGTAGATACTTGGGCATGAATTGCAAGGGTAGATTAGAGGGGTTTTTTTTTCCTTTCAAGTCCATACATTATGATGTTTGTTTTGGCTTTTTAGTGCGTTTTAGTTTTTAGTATGTTTACAGACGAAGTCATGAACAGCAGAAATTCCTATGTATTAATATAAAGTGGTGTATAAAATAGCAAACACACAGCTAAAAGCCGTGATCTGGTTTGCAAATACTTCACCATGCATTAATGTGTTAGATCTTCATTTAACACTATGTTGCATACTTCCATAATTAGTTTTTCTCTTGGTTCTCTTTTTTAAGCACTTTGTTGAACAGGAATCTGTGGCAGTCTGGGAACAGTGGTACAATGAGTGATCTGAGTTACACTGCGAAATGATTGTAACCGTGTCCAGTATACATATCAAGGGTCAGGAATCTGTTAGGATCGATTGCAAATAAGAAATTGTGCTCATAATTTATTGACAAAGATTGGGTGGGAGTCAATTTTCGATAAATCTGATTTTAATGGAAATGTCTACAGTCAGTGCAGTGGTGTAGAGCAGCATTGTAGAGAGATAGATTCCCCCCCTTAAAGAACTAAGCAGTGTGGTCTTTCTACCAGCTTCTTAACATGAATTAGTATTTACTATCTACTGGATTTCTACAGCGACTCGGGATTTCAGAAGGGAGTTCAAGTTTTATTTCACGTTAGAGTGCCTGGAATGGTTCCTTTAAATTTGCTTTTGATACTCTCAACCAAGTAATTTAGATTTCTAGGGGTTTTTTCCTAGTTCTTGTCATGACATCATTACATTTTGTGTTTTATTCCCTCCAGGCAGCTATGATGTTCAGCTCTGGAGTATTTTGGATGGGACTTCTATGTATTCCTATGACAGCTTTACTTCTTGATGTAGTGTACAAAGTGTGAGTACAGAAATGCTGAGGTTTACGGGATAAAGTACTGACTTTTAAATATGTGTTCTAACTACTAATGTAAGAAAAACAAATTAAGGTCAGCTCTGGTGATTGTAAAAAGTTGTTTTTCACCTTGTTCATTTTTGACAAACTTTATTACAAGCATTAGTAGTATTTTAAATGTTTCAATAATTTAATGTCTTTTTAATAAATATTTGTTGTTTCTAATTTGCAAGAACAGCTGATTAAAATACATTATTTAGACCTGCTTTATATTTCTTCTGGTAAGATTAATTTTAAGTCATCTGGGAAAAATGGATTTGTAAATTGAATGCTTATATAAGTGTTAACAATCTGCTCTTTCACTTTCAAGAAGAGTAAATCTGGCAGTATTTTTTATTACTTACAGAGTAAAGAGAGCTACATTTAAGACACTGGTAGATGAAGTTCAGGAGTTAGAAGCAAAGTCTGAGGATCCCGGGGCAGTTGTGCATGGCAAGAGGTACTGTAAAAATCTGTATATTGTTGTCTTCAAAAAAAAAAAAAAAAACCAAACCAAACTGCTAAATATTTTCAGCCTTATACATGTATCAAAGACAAAAGGTTATTTTTCAAAATCCATATAAGCAAAAGGCATCCGTAAAGAGGTTTCAGGTCTACTGAGCCCACATGTTTCTTCATATGCTTAGATGCAGGTTTTTACCAAAGGCTTTAAGTGATGTGTTTCTTTGTAGCTGACTGTTACATTTCTAGATATTAGATATAAAACAAACTTGAGACAGATTTCAATTGTGTCACTTTAGACTGTGTTAACAAAGTCACAAAGTGAGTTTAAACCTACATCATTTGCTAGTATAGTTATAACTTTTGCCTAAGCACAAAAAAAAAAGTATATATATCAATTTTAAAACCTGGTTGGTAGCATAGGGACAAAGAGCAAAATCTGTCTAGGATTTGCTGAAATTTAATAGAACAAGCTGGCTTTTAATCTGATGTCAGTCCAGAGCAAACAAATTTGACTAACCTCTATTAGGTAAGAAATAATTGTAACTGAAGATTCCACAAGAATTTCTTTATTACATCCTCCTCCATGGGTTAGACAAGTAATCTGACAAGGGTGAAGGTAAATCTGAACAACTGGACATTTTTCTATGTGTAAACTCAGCCTAAAGGTGTGCACTCACTAAAATACTTGAGACTTTTTAACCCCAACTGAACTCATAGCAAGCACTTGCTGAGTGGGACTATGAGGTGCCAAAGTCCCCTTTTCCCCCACTTCCAATTCATTCATGCCATTTGGCTGAGATAGAGCTTTCTTTCCTTGTCTTCATTTTCCTGAGTTTTGTGAAGTCTAAAAAAATCTTGATACTTGATTTTCCTGTTCTTTCTTTCCTTGGATTGCTTTCTTTTAGTATCTTCATGGCAAAGCGCTTAGCCAAGAAGGCTTTCCTCCTACCAAGCTATGCATGGAAAGAGACCAGAAGGAAAAAGAAAACAAAAAACAAAATACACAAACAGACACGTCTTTCATTGTAGGTTCAATTTTCAGGAAGTACCTTTTTTTCAGAAAGATACTTAAGTTCCCTTTCTCCTTCAATCTTACTGAATCCCTCCTTCATCAGCTTACTAGAATTTGCCAGGTTGAAACCAAATTACATTGGATACCACCATTTCTAATGGGTGGAATATTCAGCTTGTGTTTGCTCCTGTTTTTCCTTTCTTTTCCTAGAAATTATTGTCACAAAAACGTTTTGTCTCTAGTGGCATTCTAGTATCTTCCCTGGTACCATGACAAATACCAGAGGCGGTACCATGAGGCCTGAAAGCTCATCCCACCACCTATGGAACACTTAGTCTAGTGTGGTGGCATACCTGCATAGTGTCTCCCATCAGGCTCTGTATGCTGTCTTTGTAGCAGCAGCTTCAGACCGCCAAGTACTACAAAATCCCCTAGTTGATGACAGTCCTGCATTGAGCATCCTTTTCCTTCATTGCTTCATGACCCAGCTAGTGTTTGCAAGAATAAGTTCTCTTACCTTTACAGGTGATCTAAATTGATTGTTATGGATGCCTCTCTCCACTGGCAGTGCTCATTCAGGCAGCTTCAGGGCAAGATCTTCTTCTAAATTAACCAAGCTACATGTTAATGTGCTAAGCTTTGAGCCAGAAGCAATGTGTGCTGTGTGCTCTTCTGCAAAGAGCAAACTTGTAAAAGAATGAATTGCAGAAAAGAAAGCAGGCTTTAGTAGTAGACAGTGCTAAAAGGGGAACATCTTGTGGATGTAGAAGAAAGTAAGGAAACTTAGGTTTATAGTGTACCATACTTGCATTCCTGAGACTTCGCCTGTATTCCCAAATTCAGTTACTTTTACTTCACTTGTCTAGGCAATATGCTCTCCCTTCATCCTACAGAATGTCTTCCAAATCCATTCTTATTTAGGTAAGATGAACTTGGGGTTTTCACCACTAATTTTGTAATTATCTTTTTATCTCACAATTAAGCAGTTAAGAGGGCTTCATGAAGGTTGTGTAGATACCTGCCAGAATGTCTTTCTTAGACCCATTCCTTCTCCATAAAGTTATTAGACCTGTATTCTTTGAAGTATACAAGCATCCACTTAGCATGCAAATCAATGAACATTAGACATCTTAATATCTCTTCAGCATATATTCCCTCCATTATTTTTTCTAAACTACATCTTAATTCCGGTAATGGAGCCAATACTTCACCCTTTATGGAGAAAGTATTCCCATTAAGGAAATGCTCTGATGAACTGACTTGCTTCTTCAGAAATATGATTGAAGTATTATAAACATTTTTGAGTCTCATAAGTTGCAGAAGTCTGGTTTGACTAGTTACCAGTGCCGAGTAAGTAGTTAAATTGGTAAGGAATGTTCTCTACATCGGCTTTAAATACATACATGAAACTTTTGAGTTTTAGCGCATTTCATGCAAGAATAGGTATATTTTAAAAAACTTACTGTGTATTCTTCAGCACCAACTAATATTTTTCTAGTGTGCATACCTCTGCAAGTACCTTTTTAGGGTGTAGCAGAAGGGATTTGTTTTCCTGAAATGCCAAAATAAGCTAAGAAGATAAAAATCGCTAAGGAGATAAAAATCACTAAGAAGTAACTGGGAAATAGTGAGAAAGATAATTCAGGTACTTTTCCACTCTGTCCATTCCCATCTTAAAAATATTACAACACAAAATCACAGGCTCAACTTCCACAGACAACAGGTCAGGACTCTACTACTAGTTAGATGCCTTAGTCAGTATCCGAATGCTTGCTTAGAAGTATATTAGTGTTATTTTTTATTGCTTTTCTTTCATCTAGAATATATTTTTTGTAGATTTTTAGAAATGTGTTGACCTGATAGTGCATGCATTTAAATACAATGGAGATTGTAAGGCTTTACCTTTCGATGTTTTCCTATCAATCAATCTTAGGATGGGAATTTTCTATTTAAATTCTAAATCTGGGCTTTCAGCTGTTTTCATAAAATTAGGATAAAAATTGACATTTACATTGAAATAATTTAAAATACTGTTTTTCAAAGTTCTTTATTTTAGCATGTGCTTTAGAAGCAGGACATGCTAATATACTCCTAAAATTTGTCATCCCTTCTATTTTTACAGTGCTGATTTGAAAGGTATTTACAATTGTTACCATTGAAGGCTTAGGAAGAGCACTTCTATTGTATCTTGCTGTTTCAGTGTGTGCAAGAATGTGTAATCGGATTTTTCCTCAAAACTGTCCAAAAATTTCAAGGCCATATTGGATGGGGCTTTGAGTAATCTGGTCTAGAGGAAGGTGTTCCTTCCCATGGTAGAGGGTTGGAACTAGGTGATCTTTAAGGTCTCTTCCAAACCAAACCATTCTCTGATTCTGTGAAAATACTTTACTCTGTTTTTCTATAGGCAACACATTGAAACTGGTTTCATCACATATATTTGTCAGTTAAGTAGAAATACATCTTGATCAAGAAGGTGCAAATTTTGCATGGTCACTTTTCCAACAGAAAAGTAAACTTTCATGTTGGTATACTATTGACTTGAGGGTGCTTTGATAGCATAAATAGTAGAGTCATAGAATGGTTAGGGTTGGAAAGGACCTTAAGTTCATCTAGCTCCAACCCCCATGCCATGCGCAGGGACACCTCACACTAGACCATGCTGCCCAAGGCTGTGTCTAGCCTGGCCTTGAACACTGCCAGAGATGGTGCATTTACCACTTCTGTGGACAACCTGTTCCAGCGCCTCACCACTCTCACAGTAAAGAACTTCTTTGTTATATCTAACTGAACTTCCCATTTAAGTTTGAACCCATTACCCCTTGTCCTGTCACAACACTTCCTGATGAAGGGACACAGTACTCCAAGTGGGGTCTCGCAAGAGCAGAGTAGAAGGGCAGAATCACCTCCTTCGACCTGCTGGTCACACTTCTTTTGATGCAGCAATTAGAATAACTTCAGTGGATTAAAAAATTCATTCCACAAAAAGTATGAATTCTGTCATTAGAGCAATTGTAATTGAAATGCCACAAAGCCATTTCTCCTTAAAATTGAAATGACTAAGGTGAAAGGATACTTTTTGTTCAAAAACAGTTTTTCTGATACCATGTATATAATACTTAAGTAGAAACAACAGTATTAATACTACAAAAATATTTTTACTGGGTTGAATACTACATAGACTAACAGTAACATGAATAACAGCCCAGATTTGTGGAAACATCTTTAGAGATACATACTGCAAAAGCTGCTTCATATAATCATTGTTTTTTATTCAGTCCACTTGGAAATTATTTTTAGACCATCTAAGTGGTTGGTCAGGAATACATGAAGTAGTAAAAATGTTTTCTATAAATGCAGTTAATTACCTGTAAATGTATACATTTCATGTTCAAAAATATTTAATATTCTGCTTGTCCATATAGGTACACATAATGAGCATAGGCATGTAGTTACTATAATTTATTATTGGTTAATTATGAAACCATGTTTTCTTGGCTTTGCATGTGTTTTTTTAAATATGTTTTTGAATGGCAACAGGGAGATTCATAATAAAGAGCCTGCAGTATTTCAAGTATAGAAATTGTGGAGAATTTAATACCTGAATAGCTGGAAGCATTTTTCTTTTCCCATATGTATTTCCTTCTTTATTTGTATTTTCTGTACCAGCAATCAGATCTGTGCAGTGGAAACTTCATTTCATTATACATAAACTAAGAAACGTGCATACTTCATGTTCTTGTAAAACTTAAGGCATTTAAAACAATCTGAACATTTCATTCTGGATTGCAAGCAAATAATAATGGTGGTACCAAAAATTCTAGACTAGGCCTGCTATGTTTTTAATAAAATGGGGGTTTTATTAAAAAACACCTGTCAAAACCAAAAATTTTGTAGAAATTAGCTGATGTCAACTCACATTAAGAAGGGTTTCTCACATGTATTGCAAAGGAGATACAGCTGATAACTTTATCTAGGTATTCACATGGTCTTCCACCTCTTTCCCATCTTACATGAAGATATTTATTCACTCTCTGTATCCATGTGATTTAAACCTCAGTCCATAATTTTTTATTAATCTTGTCACTTTAATAGTTTGTAGCTGTGAAATAAACAACAAGGTTCCTACACAGCCTAGAGCAGCAAATGGGGGGCAGGGGAGTTGCACGAGAATAGCCCCAAAGAGCTAGCTTATGAAAACACTGAGACAAAGATCTGTCTCAGCACTCCAACCTCTCCATTCTTGGTTCAGTCAGCAGATGCCAACAGCTTTCCTGGAATTGGTACCTAATGGGGTTTTTTTGTTTTTTTTTTTAACAAGGAAGTCTCATTCCATCTTTTAATTCAAACCATGGCCACAGTTTCCCTGCCTATCCCATTACCCTGTAGATTTTGCAGTTAGCATTCCTCTATGGATGTGGGAATAGCAGGTTTATTTCTCTCTTCCAACTTTGAAAAGCCAAGCTTTCATCTTCCGGTATATGTTTTAACCACCAGACTGGAGGGGAGCAGAAAGGGGAGATAGTGACTAATCTCTGCAGTTTAACACAGTGGTTCAACTTCATATATATGAAGTATATACTCACTGAAGAAAGAATGAGCCTTTCTAATGTAATGGTTTGAATGCTAATCTAGTGAGGGAAGCAATCTAGCCATTCTTTGCTCTGCTTTGGTAAGTAGCCTGGGAAGGCTGTAGATCTAATTAACAATAATATTAAAAAGTAATTTGACTGATCAAAACTTAGTAATGTAGGTATGTGAACTACAGTTTGCAGCATTCAGCTGATGCTTGAGTCTCAGTTTAAAAACTGTTTCATACTCCTGTTTTCTACGTGGGCTGAAATGGAAACTCACTTGGAACACATTAAAGCACAGTAAATACATAATACAACAGACTCAGTATTGCTGAGAATCATAGAAGGAGGGAAATAGGCTGAAGTGACCAAACTCTAGCAGTAATAGTAGTCTGTTACTTAAGTATGATCTCCAGAAAAACACCTTCTGAAGTTTCCTGGGGAATACACGATGCTAGAACACTTTTCATGGAAGTAGTGTGTTTCTGTACACACAGCTGATGGCCACAGATGTCACTTTACCTCCATCTCTTTTGCCATCCCTTTGGGGTACTATAAAAGCACTTTCTTCTATAAGAAAAGACAGACTGTAATACAGCCTGGCACTAATCAGGCCAAGCTATGTCAAGGAAGCCAGTGTCTTCCCTTTATACTGTATGTTTCTAAAGGAGTCACGCTCAAATGTTTACAATATTATTCATTTATTTGTATTGTCAGTGCACAAGTGCTTCAAACACATGTTTTGCCTGCACTGTGAAGAGTAAAAACTTGAGCAGCGATCTGGACTTCAGAATCTGCCCTCACACACACTTTTAATCACATTCTTAATAATCAGGCGCAATTAGAAAAGAAAAAGGATAGTGGATACTTTTAATAATTAATTCCCATTTAACAGACTCCACAATAGAGGAATACTGTAATTAATAAGTTTTTTCATACATTCACTTTCTTTCTAGCTTAACTGAAAGAGCCCAGCTACTGAAGAATGTTTTTAAGAAGAACCATGTGAACTTGTATCGCTCTGACTCTCTGCAGCAAAACTTGCTTCGTAAGTTAATAAATAAAAAGTTTAAATAAAACTTTAATAAGTAAATAAATGAAAAGACAAATAAAAGTTAATATCCCCATACTATGGAAGAAAAACTCTACCTTTCATCTCATTTTTCTTATAGTAAAGATGCAGTATCCTAAACCCAGTAGACCATGGTTTTTGCCTGTTTGTAGGTTTCTCTTCATTCATAAGATACCATATGCACAGAGTTCTTTATGCTGTTCTATATGTGAAAAATTATGTAAGAAATGTCATGGGTTTTCTACCTACTAAGTACTGAAAAGAGGTTTATTTGCCTCTGTTGACCTTTGTTAAGAGCTGTTTATTAAAGCTTCAATAAAAAATCAGATCAAAACGTTAATTGGTTCCTATTTTGTTTTATATCTGCAGATGGCTATGCCTTCTCTCAAGATGAAAATGGAATAGTTTCCCAGTCTGAAGTAATAAGAGCTTACGATACAACAAAACAAAGGCCTGAGGAATGGTGAAGAAACACAGCACGAGATTTGGGCCTTAGTAGTTACTTTTGTGATACAGACTACTAGATCTTTGCTGGGAGCTGCAACCATGGCCCAGTTATCTGAGATCTAAATATCTATGATGGTCTTGTTCCATAAAATTTGGATTTGTGTACTCAATAGACATAAGCACTGTGCAACTATACTGTAACACACCATCTCTAAATTTTTTAACAAGTATTTGCTTAGCATTTGTAAACAGATTGGAATTTATCTTGTATCTTGCCAGCTTGCTTATTTTACAATGAAGTTGAATCAGTACTGGTCATATAGTTAGAAGGCAATGGTCAGAACGCTAAACATACTTTACATTGACAGACCATTAGCATCTGTGAAGGTTTTTAAGTGTTAATATATTTAAATACAGTTGATAAAAAGCCTTTGTTTTCAACAAGTGCTGAAAAAAGAGTATCTTAATGGTGTTAATTCACCTTCTTTAAGAAAGATTTTGAGTCAAGGTGTTTATAGATGTTTGTGTCATACTAACCTAAAAACGTTTGCCAAAGAAGTTCCATAACTGTTTTCTGTTGTTAGGAATAATTTGAAAGGAAATGAACTCCAGTCCTGATATCAGAACTGCATGCTTGAGTGTCCACACTTGAGGAGAAAGATTTACAGTACAGTGAGTCAAATTTGAGTGGCCTTTATGGCATTTGCTTTCAAAACTGCAAGTCTTTGCACCTTTGGCCTTATAGAAGCTTTCCCCTTACTTTCATTTAGTATTGCATATGTTAAAAATCGCTGCCACCTTGTAAAAGTGAGTACACATATTATTTTGTCCAATTTTTAAGAATTGCTCTGCCTTACTTCTCTTTATCAAACTCTACTTATATTTGCAATGCTTAATTGTATCTGCTTATACTGTAGGTTCAGAAGAAAGTTTGTTTTAACTTATTTCAAAAAATTAATTCAATTTTCAACATTTTTATACTAAGATTATTTGAAATGTATACATTGAAATAGAGAGCAAAGCATGCCCTTTGCTAGTCTGTGGTATGTACTGTTTTATTTGCACTAAAGCCACTTCCTATAAAGGTGTGAAATACATTGCAGCAGACTCTTTACAATTTACTGGTCATGCAGAATACCTATATGCTCTCACCTTTATTTAAAAATGGAGAGGAAATGGCTACAGAAAGAGATACACACCTGATTTTAGAAAACAAAAAAAAAAAGGTGTTAAACGAGAACATTGTGATAACTTTTTAAAGTAGTATTGGTATTTCTCAGCTTACTACCCAACAACTATCAGGTTTCAAACTAAGAAAAGCTACTTTAACTTCAGAATTTAGTTAAATCTTGTAGCTTTTTAGTCCATGTTTAATTCTAAGTTTAAAAGCCACCATAATCACATTTAAAATAATTTTTTCTGTAGTAGTAGTAGGTTTTAATTTTAAATTGCATTTCTGTGCGCTACACAGAGATTATCTCTCTTTTCTTTGAGTGGAGATCAACTAAATGGAAAAACGGAACAATAGCATCCCCAATGATCTGTTAAATTAAGAATTTCCTCTTTCTGTCCAAATTATCCACTTTCAACTCAAAAGTAATAAGTCATCCAATCCCATCTTTTCTCTGCCCTCCTTCTTTAGCCATATACTTATTAAAAATTACTTTACGTCCTTGCCTTTCATCAAACTAAACACTTAACCTACAATTGTATTGCACTATCAGACTTTCTTATGCTCTACTTTTAAGAGAAACTTAAAAATACACATGGAAAGCCCAACAAAAGGCACTGTATGAAAGTACATATTTAGGAAGGCGTATCAATGGGAAGGCAGTCTGCATTTCATATGCATGTTATGCAACGTCTTCCTCTCAGTTTCCCGGAGTGATCTTTAAACAGAAGCTATAGGGACAAAAGGAACGTATCCCACTAGAAACAGTACTGCCAGTCAGTCATGCAGACAAGAACTGCCTTCAGAAAAGCCATTTCAGGCATAGATAAATAGATGGATCAATATGGGAGGGCCAAATCACTTGACCTAAGGCAAGAAAAAATTTGGGGGCATGCCCCTTTCCTAAAATGGAGATCCCTATTTTCTGTCATCCAAGGGACAATGACCAACTTCAAAACATTTCTGAAATTAACCATGACAATGTTGCTCCTTTACAATCTTTCAGTGTACTTAACTGATATAAAACGACTCAATCCAAATTTATTTTTATTACTGGGGTTTTTTTTCTATTCTAAGTGGTTTAATAGCTGATTTTGCAGAAAAGGACATGATGACCAGAATACATTGTAAAATATTTACAATGAGAAATGTACATGGTCTCTTCTGAAATAAAATTCTGTCTCACTATTGTAATACAGTTTGTGAAGAGTAACACACAGTATATCCCCAGTTTAATTATCTTAAAAAGAAGGAAAACAACTCAAACAGCTCTAAGATACTAAATTTAGACTGTAATTTAAGGCTTTCTAGGATAATCATGGCTTTTTCTCCCATCTCTCTACTTTTTCTGTTAATTAGTAGATAGAAGATACCACTTGGAAATAGTAAAAAAGACAATGTGGCAGTTCTGGTTTTTGATTGCTCATACAATTCCATTTTAAAATGTAAGATCATGTTAGCTATGTGTGCCTATTTTTAATTCAGGTCAAGTATACAATATGCACTTTATTTTCACGTTGAGTACACAGTAATATAATCTATTACCATCTTGTTAATACATCCTATCTGTTAAAATAAGGGGATTGTGCAGGTGTTTGTTTAAAGAAAAAACAGTTTAGGCAAAAATGCTCATAACAATGCCTCTGTTCTTATTGCCTGAACAGTCAGATGTGTATTAAATACAGAATTCACATGGACTTTTCCATCTGTATCATGCGCACTGCATAACAATTACAAGTTAGTATTAAAAACGTCCAGCAAAAGGCTGAACCAGTGCCACTTAGAAATCGGGTATCTTATATAAATACTGTTGTTTGATTATTTTTAAATATATACCTATATATATATAAGGGAGTCAAAAGTAAGTAACAGGAGACAAATTTTAACAAACCTATTGATAATTTGTATTTGGAATTTTTTCTTGCCATTTCCTAATTTTACACTTATTTTTGCAAAGCAGTTTCAACAGATTTATACTTAGTCATCATTCTATTTGTATAAAATGATAAATAAAATATTTTGAAACACTAAGAGATAGCTGAAGATTCCTATATGTCCACATGCATCCATAAAATTCACTGAGTTACGAAGATGCGTGTCGTGTCTTAAGACTTCTTTTGTTACATTTAAACCCATCTTGAATGATGAGTAATTTCGAGTATGTGTTAAATCTAAGGAGAGAAGGTTTTTCCCTTTTTTTCTTATGTATTGTGTAAAGGTATTTGTAGTTCTGATGGATTTATCATTCTGTCTGCATGAGGCAATATTTCTAAGTGTTCTGAGGCAGTGCATGGTGGTTGCTGTTCTCTGTTTTTTAATGCCTTCGTTAAAAGTCTGCTCATAATATATCAAGAAGCTAGTGCTATGTAAGCAAATGAGTTTGTCAGTTCAACTTTCTTGGTAGTAGATGTTTTCACTGGTAACAAAACTCAACAAATGAGTTTCTCCTTCCCCGCCTCTGCCCTCGCTCCCCCACTTTCCTTTCTGTTAACCAACAGATCTTTATTAAACAAAGAAATATTTTAGCATTCCAAACCTGGTTCCTGCTTATGCAAACTGTTACTCACATAGGCTTCAACTGGACTTTGAGTATAAGGACTACTCATCTAAGCAATGATGTGCCAAGTTGGGCACTTTGGAGGCTTGATACTTTAACTTAAATGGAAGCAGTTTCATATAGTGATTTGTAATTGCAAAGCTGTAACCAGAACAAGTTTTTTTAAAAAATCATATTTTATGGTGTTTCTTTATTGTAGAATAGAAGCCATAAATGCATTAATATTGGGTTTTTTTACTCCAGCGTAATTTTTCATCAAGATTTTCAGTGTGTGATGTGTATAAACTGCTGCAGAAAGTGGTCAGCCTGTAATAGCAAAATTTGCATTCAAGGTAAAGTGAGGTTTTACAGCTCCACTAAGCCATTACTGCTGAAACTGTTGTGGAAATTATGAAGCTGCATGAATGAAGACTTTTTGACTCGGTGTTTATGGTAGTTTCTCAGGTTTAGTTTTAACTGGATGTTAAATGCACTGTGTTTTATAAATAGTTCTTCTCTTTTAGTAACACATTCAGTTCCATGCAGTGTTACATGTCATTTGGCATTTGGTGAATGTGCATGTTTTGAACTGCAGATTTTAAATGTTTTGTCTTTTAATTGTTAAAAAATGAATAAACTTTGCCATTAAATGAAGAAACTTTGTTGAACTGACTGGTTGCAAATGCTAGCAATTACTTTCAAAGGAGAACATGTATGTCTGCACTCTTAGAATTCTTTAAAATGGGATATATTAGAAATAGCATTTCACAAATACCAAAGAATTCTTATGTTAAGGTAAACTGAAAAAGTAGAAAGTGGTTTTAAGTTTTTGGTTGTTTTTTTGTAAACACCTATTTTGAGATGCCTTTTTCAGTTCTCATGTGAAGTCCAGAAAAAGTTAAAAAAAGAAAGGATAGGGTGGAGAACAAGAGTTTGCCATTCAGTGATTTGCAGCAGAGCCCTAATATGCTGTGGTGGTGATAGCGTATTTTGAAAGAGAAGTATGCAGTACAACAATGATAGAGTGGAAATGAGGAAACTATCATTTCCTTTTCCAGATGGTAGTGATAAATATGGTATCCTTTGGCTATGATAGCAGCAGGTAATTCTTTCCCACAACAGTGCCCACCCACTGAATAAAAATGAATATATCCAAACCTAAGCTGAGTTTTGCTTGTAGATAGGTGACTGATTTTTTATATACACACTAAGACAATTTATTTTCCAAATGTTGTATTCTGTCAAGGCAGGTTCGATAATAGATGCATCTTTAATGCTGTTAGTTTCCTGATAGCCAGTATTTAATGGTAGATCTGCTTTATGGAGATTCCACCTCATGGTATGTCACTGTCTCTATTACAGTAGCAGTTACAAGGCCATTGAAATTATTCAGGTTATAATCCAGTTTATAATGATCCAGGCTCCATTTAAAATCCTTTCCCTCTTTTCTTATGCAAACGTTATTTTTAAGCTAAATCATTTCACTAACTTGATGTACGCCACAGCCCCCTGAATTTGCACAAGATGGAGAGAATAAAAAAAGCAGAAAGGTATTTCTTCTTCTGCCTTTGCTAATGAATACAGCCTAACATGGAATTACAGCCTCAACGTAATTGTGAATCAAAAACTGTTTATGTGATTATTGTGGTGCAGGGGGGGACGGTGGGTGGGTGTGTCCCAAAAAAATAGAAGCTCTGTTCAGAGTAGTTTAAGTCCACACAGCACATCACAATATCCAGAAAAACAGCACTGAAAATTGATTCCATCCCCTTAATGTCATGGTCAAGCTGTAACTGACTAGTAGTGACAAA